ATTTTAACACAACGTGGTGCGATCATCCCCCTTGCGCGGAGTGAGGGTTCTCCACCCCGCACAGCATGATCTACTCGACCACTATTATGGTTACCGCCAAAAAAGAAACATGGGCAAAAAAAAACCGGTAACCTGGTTGCCGAGTTCACGAAGTGAATTGGCTTGTTTTACAACATCGTTGCCAAGCGACGAAAACCCAATCCCGATGGCGATCGCAAACACCGAGGGGGTGGCTTGTTTTAAAACGTCGTTGCCAATCGACGACAACCCAACCCCGATGACAAACACCGAGGGGGGGGCTTGTTTTACAACGTCGTTGCCAAGCGACGAAAACCCAATCCCGATGGCAAACACCGGGGGGGGGTGCTCACAAGGAGCGGGTAAAAAGACGGAGATTAGCTACCCCTTTACGATGGCAGTACCAGCAGAATATCCCCTCGGAAAGACATTCTTGGCAGCGCTCGTATAGCGTCCATACACCACTTGCTCAATAGAAGAAGGAGGGGCATACGAAGCTTACGGAGAGCACCAGGTAATTTCTCATGCGCACCATACATACTGCTTTCCTAAGAATATTGTTTGCGCTTCCAATATAGACTAGGGCACTTCCAGCGTCTACCAGAAAAGTTGCTGGCTAGCCGTCCTCCACACCTCTCTCCTCTGCATTAAGCTATAGGTTTTCATGCGAGCTCATGCGAGAAGGCGTTGAACTCGACAAGGAGGAAACCTGCGCCACCTGCATCTTTGGCAGCGAAGCGTGTTAAGAAATACTATAAGGTGGGGACCCCCGGGCAGGCCAAATTTTGGCAAAACTCGGGATACCCTTTTGCGGGAAGTGCGACTTCAATGGGGACGTGTAGGATACGGCTCAAATGAGGCCGTGGTTAGCGTACAGACGCGCGTGGATGTGGAATGCAGGTGGAAGGGGGGGGGCAGGGGGGCATGACGAGGAGGAGACAAAGAGCAGGGGGACAACAAGTGCACATGTATGACAATTTGACAGCAGCTACGACTCTACCTGGCTGAGTAGCAGCATGGCGCTCTTCCGGTTAACAATCGCCGTTTTGAACGACGTCTTGAACGTCACAGGGGCTTGACCCCCGCCTGTCCCCTCGAGGTTGGTGACATTGCTTTCCTCCGCGTTGCCGTTGTGTGAGTCAAAACCTTGGTCGCCACCCAAAGCATCCATCCTTTCGTTCAATGACGTGTTCATATTGACTTGAGACGCAGGTTGACACAGGGTATCGGTGATCCATGTGAGCACGCATGCATGGGTCGAGAAGCTGCGATTGGTAAGATTTGACGCCAGACGTGTTCTCGGAAAATGACTGCTATTTCGCTGCGCTGAAGCATAAAACACTCTGAACGGATGGTATGAATGTCTCCATTATGGAAACATGGCATGATGTCTACATTATGGAAACATGGTGCATGTTGCTGATCGCAGGCAATGCTCGTAGAGTAGCGAGCAAGCGCGAACGAACGCGGTGTACGCTAGACCCGTTAACAGAACCGTAAACCGCCACCGCTGTGGTTCAGCGTGGGTCCAACAACTCTAGGAGACCTTGGTTAAGAATAGTAGACTATGGTAAAAACCTGGAATTAAGAAGCGCCTGTACCAGGCTACTCATGTAGTTGTATACTTGCACAACACATGATAACACACCGGTCGCCCTGGTGGTCTAGTGGGTAGCCTCGCCGTCTGCTAAGGGCTAGGTCATGGGTTCGAGTCCCGGCAGAGAGAGTTTTTTCTCGCTAACTAAATCCTGGTCTAGGATGAAAGCGACGCGCTGCAAAGCTCGTTTGTTAGTAAACCATAGACTAATCGACTTCGTAAGTCGCGAGGGAAGGGATTGCTGTACCCTTCTCGCGATAAAAATACCTCAGGCATGAACCGCAGGAGGGGGTCCAACCCCCCCCTCCTATGTGACCCCGGTTGGGTCGTCTAGCTAGTAGAAGTGGAGGATAGGGGCCAGAGGGGCAGACGACATAGTCCAATGATGGGAGAAAAACAAATAAACAAAAAAACACCCCCTGGACCGATTTTCAAAGCTTTATTACGCCACGAAGAAGATGCATGAACGAAACGATATATTTCCGGAAAGCTCTCTATGAGACGGCTTCAACGCCGCCGTTCTCGGCGCTGTGACTCTTTCTGTTGCTGAGAGATGGAGCTTTGAAAATCGGTTCAGGGGGTGTGTTATCTTGTGTCGTATGCGGTAAGAGGCCAACGAGTTGTGCAGGTCGCCGGCAATGTGCTCTGCCTATACATTCTTTCCTAGCAAGTGCATTTTCGAGAGAGAGGTAACGCCTTCAATGGAGCATTATCAGCCAAGAGATGAAGCAGATGCAAACATGCACGAAGCAGAGGCTTGTAAAGTCTACCCACTGAAAGCATCTATGCATATGCACGGTCCAACGAGCTTTACGAGGACACACCTGTCTGTCCTGCCAGGACAACTGCTGTATGCATTACGCGACTCAGCGGAAGATGTGCCGCTGACAGCTGTTCGAGAACTCGCCAACTCGATTAAGGCACATGCTATAGCATCGACACAGAAGTGCAATATTGCGGCGAGAAACTCCGCCTCATGAAGTCCATTCGCTTCCTCTGCTCGGACCTACCAGGTAGTACATGTAATACACGCGCACGACGAAACACGTGTCGCCATATTTGTATCGCGCGCGGGAAGGTTTCTTTTGAACCGGCACACACACACGAACGCACTGACGTCTTTTAATTGGTCAGCCGGTTAGCGCGGTCGATGCTAATAATAAAAACACACGAACTGCGATTCTACGGTGCTCCCGTGCTCCAATGGTTATTGTCGGTCCATCGTGTGACGTCACAGAGGTCTCTCTGTTGGGGCGACTCACTGGGAGACGTTCGGTCTCCTCCCAAGACTCGTGCAAAGCGCTTGCAACACGAGCCGAGTTGTGGCCGGAGAGTTTCTTCATGAGGGATGAGTTCTCGCAAGCAGCATAGCTTCGGGCCACAAAGATCATCGTCTGACAAGGTGGGTAGACGTTGCGTGTCTCTGTTGCTGTATCTTGGACATGGGCACTGCTTGTTGTTACCCTGCCGGCCGTGGTTGATGCACCATGGGCAAGCCCACACAAGCACGCAAGCGGCACTCTTTGTTGCGTCGGTATTGCTGTTTTGTGTAGCGGACGAGTCTTCTTTTGGAGGCAAACATTTCACGCAAGGACACACTCACAAATACGCAACACATAGACTATTTGGAGCAACTTACAGCAGTACATAAACCACCGGATCCCGTTGGACTACTGCTGTGGGTAAATCTTGAACGGGTAGTCCACTCTTTCTGTGCTGTTATTTTCCTGCTCTCCTGATGAACGGACACTCACGCATCGATGTGTTTTCGCTCACACGCATGGGAAAGTGCGAAAACAGCCTTCGTACAGGGCACGTGGCTCCATAGTTAAATTGCCTGGGGCCGGAGGTGTGTACACGGATAAACGGATTGTTACGCAGCCTACCGACGTGTTGGCACGCTTCGTAAACCTCAACATGCAGCAAGCAGTGCAACCCGTGTCTGGTATTTATTTTCTGACCTCGGCATTACATGCAGCACTCTCCCTTCTTCCCCTCGCTCCTCGACAAGCTTTTGCTTAGACATGGGTTGTAGTGAAGGGGGGGGTCTTTCTGGCGAGCAGGGCTAGACTCACCCTCAAGGGATGACCGAAACCTTCTTGCTGCTGCGCATATCCGCCGCGAGGCATGCGCGTGGTGGTGTAGTTGGGTCGGC